GTCTTCTTGACATTGAGCCTCAGTCCATACTGAAGGCTGCAGTCCTTGACCCTTCGCAGCAAGTGCATGAGGTCCTCCTCAGTTTCAGGGAGCAGGGTTGTGTCATCTGCATAACGCAGACTGTTAATAGATCTTCCACCAATCCTGATGCCACAATTCTCGTCATAGAGCCCAGCCTCTCGGATAATCTGTGGTTGATAAAAAGTAAAGGAAATTGGAAAGATCTGGTGTGAAAACCATGTATACAAACTTTGTAAGTAAACCAGTATAAAAAATTTTATTTAAAGAAAAAAGTTATGGTACTAAGTAAGTTATAGTAATAGTTGCATCACAGTATGAATGTACATAAAGCATACTTTGGATGATTAAAAGGACCCTTTTTGTGCTATTTGTGTATCACCACAATAAAAAGGATATTTCTGAAGACATTTAAATTACAGCTCAAGAAAGCTATTAAAAAATGATAAGTATAGTATCATATCTTCAGTCTGTTTTGCTACATAAAAATAACCAGTGTCAAAGATTTACTTTCAGAGCACTTTAAAAATGTAACATTTTTAAAATGGCATAATTTCAGAGATGGAAGTAACTTGGTCATGTTAGGAATTGGAAGGCTTAGTGGGATGTAGGAAGGTAGGTTATAAAAGGGTAACACATGGAATCCTGTATTGTTTGTAGTCTTTCTCTTCTGGTGGTTGGTTATAGGATCACACAGAGGTCATAAAATTGTATAGAACAAAATGCAGACACATTCCTAAAATTGAATGCAAGTAAAATTGGTAAAGTAAAGATTCGATTGATAGATTGTATCTCAGACAGTGTCCTAATTGTAGTTAACTAAGATTCTGCTGAATATTATCTAAAAAAGGCTGGAGCAACAGTCAACAGAGAACTGCCAAATGTGCACACTGGGTTTAGAAGAGACCATGGTACTAGGAATATTATAGTTAATATTAAATGAATCTTGGCTGAAAACAGGGAATACCAGAGGAATGTCTGTTTTTCATTGACTATACAAAGCCTTTTGACTGTGTGGATCACAACAAACTGTGGCCGACTCTGAAAAGAATGGGAATCCCAGAACATTTGATTGTGCTTATATAAACCTTTGTGTGGACCAACAGGCAGTCATGAGAACAGGGGAAGAAGACAGTGCATGGTTCAAAATCGGGAAGGGTGTCCACGAGGGATGTATTCTGTCTCCATACCTTTTCAATCTATAGGCAGAACAGATCATCCGGATGCTGGGCTGTATGAGGAGGAGTGTGGCATCAGAATTGGAGGAAGATTCATTAACAGTCTGCATTATGCAGATGACACAACCCTGCTTGCTGAAACTGAGGAAGACCTGAAGTGCTTGCTGCAGAAGGTCAAGGGTTGTAGTCTTCAATATGGATTGAAGCTCAACATCAAGAAAACAAAGATTCTCACCACTGGGCCAATTGGCAGCATCATATGGATGGTGAAGAGGTCAAGACTGTTAACAGTTTTAGTTTGCTTGGCTCCGCAATCAACACTCTTGGTACCAGCAGCCAGGAAATCAAATGACAAATTGCATTGGGAAAGTCAGCTGTCAGGGGCCTATTCAGAGTACTGAAGAGCAATGATGTCAGTCTGGATACTAAGGTGTGCCTGATCCAGGCCATAGTCTTCACAGTTGCGTGCTATGCATCAGAGAGCTGGACAATGACTAGGGATTGATGCCTTTGAGCTGTGGTGTGGGAGAAGAGTGTTGAATATACATGGGCTGCTAGAAGAACAAACAAGTTCAACCCAGAGAGAGTGAAACCAGGCTGCTCCTTGGAGGCAAGGATTCGATTCAGAGGCTTTATCTGATATACTTTGGGCATGTTGCATGGAGGGACTGGTCCCTGTAGAGGGACATCGTGTTTGGGAAGGTGGAGGGACAGCGCAAGAGAATAAGACCTTTGAATGAGATGGTTCAATTCAGTGATTAGGGTAATGGGAGTAGGTGTGTCAGGGACAATGAGTTTGGCACAGGAAAGAGCAGGGTTTAGGGATCTTGTACATAGGGTCACTATGAGTCACAGGCAACTCAACGGCACATAACAACTACAACATCAGGACATGGGGCTGAGTGTGCAAGAATCACTTCCTATTCCTCATAATTACAGGTGAATCTTTCTTAGTAAATCTCGTGTAAGTGTCACATTAAAAGTTTCAGTAAGGAGAAAAATATAATAGTGTATATATACCTTCAAAAACTTGTTCTGTAAGTAACTATTTGCATGTAACTCTTTGTTCTTGCCTTGGGCCTATCTATCATCCATATCTTTAAAGAGCAATAACAAAACCAAAGTTTAGGATGACATGGCCTAGCATGCCTTCTTTAAAGACTCATGGTAGGTTTTTGTTTTTTTTTCATTTCAGCATTGCAGTGCTTAAATACGTTATTGCTTGTTTCCCAAACATAAAGATACTGTGTGAGTATAAGAAAAGCCGTTCCCAGATTTTTTAGTTAAGTCATTTTAATAAAATTATTCCTTCCTGTTTACTGATAGTAAAAAAATCTACATGTCACATTTTTATTTTAAACCAAACATAAATATGATTTTTAGCAAACAAAAAAAGCATTTTGTGTGTAGTAGAAATTATCCTGTTAACATCTTGTCAAGTTAAAAAGATAAACAGCGCGGGCCCCTAGCTGGTTGGAGATACAGTTCTTTGTTTCGCCCCTTAGCCAACCTTCTTGGTTTTTTAAGTGAAAAAAATCGCCTTCGTGGCTTTCGTATCTCACGAAGCGGTGAAGTGGCTCTTGGGGCTTGTCGATTTCAGGGAGACGCGAGCGGTGAGAGAGCTCGGAATGATTCCTTCGCGGAACCATTGCGGCGAGGCTTCTGCGAGTGAGAGTCGGAGAGTGACAGGCCTGGGCCCGCAGACAGGGATGGCGGGCGAGGCTTTGCCCGGGGGCGCAGCCCCACTGGAGCTGCGGCGGGATCGCAGTATGGTGTGTGTGGAGTACCCAGGCGTGGTGCGCGACGTGTCTAAGATGCTGCCGACCCTTG